TTAAAAATTTTGGATACTTAATCTATATAGTGTGAGGGGCGTGGCAAGGGTGAAACGAAGGTATACGGATCAAAAACTTAACCCTTTGCACTGAACAATTTTTTGGCTAAAGAAGAGAATGAGTTGAAAAATTTTCTGTTATAAGGCTGATGATATTTTCTGAGCAGTAAATAAGAAATCGTATAATAATTGGCACGTAGATTATTTAATTTAATTTATTTAGTTATTTAATTTCGATACCTCGCGCACTGTTACATTATTTTAACCCTTTGCACTCGAGTCACCATTAATTGCAGTCACCATTTAATTAGATTCTAAAGATCGATGTTAATTAATATATCAAATTCAAAATTACCTAACGATGCGTGCAATGTCGAAGTAAAATAATTCTAAGTCTTAATTTGCATGCGATTTCTTATTTGCCATTTTAAAAATATCCTCGACTTTATGGCAGAAAATCTTTGAATTACTATTTTTCTGTAACGAAAACATCGTCGAGTGCAAAGGGTTAAATTTGATATGTTAATTAACATCGAGCATCGAAATTTTATCAAATGGCGACTGAAGGGTGCTTCTCGAGTGCAAAGGGTTAATAGCGTCTTGTTTCGAAAAAGGTTTATTTCACGCTAAGGTCTTTGCTTAACTGTTTGAGGGTCTCTGCGTGACTCCTCGAGGGTTTCTTAAGAACCTTCGCCCTTTCGGTGCTCTTCGCTCTTGATCGTTTATGCAACGATCGAGAGTTTACGCGAGCACAGAGTTATCGCGATCCATTTGTCAGTGGCCGATGAGGCCCATTTGATCGCTGAGGCCCGATTATCAGCGCAACCAGCAAGATAGTAGGTTATTTTCTTACAATAATTTTAATATAATTTAATAGTTAATAGTTTAATATAATTATAGGCTTATTTAAAATTTTGTATGCTTAGTTTATGGAGTTGTTAACCACTTGCGGTAGCAAGAAATTCACTGACGCGTGTGCCAGAACGGTCCAGTGTTTCTGTAACAATTGCCTAACGACGTGTGTACCACGTCGTTGGCGATTCTGTGACAAAAGCATTACGACGTGCGTGACACGTCTTTCCAGCGTAAGTGATTAAAGTGAAATTAATAAATAAAATTAAGTAAAGTAAAATTAATAATATTCCTAATTAAAGAATTAATAAATATGGACAAATAAACGTTAATTTTATTGTACACAGTTACTAAGATGGTCTACGTGGATTTTCTATAAAGTTCTATGAAGAAACGGAATAATAATTTTCTATAATTATCGTCATTTTCCAACGACTTTTCAGGTGTGGATAATTGTCCATGGGTGTTCTAATAGCTATGATTGGAAGTGTGCAGCCTTCGATCTCGACAGCAGTAGACGTAATTGATTAGGAACAGCTTTCTGGTCTATGCTGTCAGCGCGATGACACTGATTAGTGACTTCCATGCTCCATTCCCGGAAATACGCGAGCTATCAAGATTACTGTAACTTCTTCGTTGATTTACGACCAACAGTTCTTCGCTGTAAATCTAGAACAATGTCTTCACTTACTGTTATCGCGGCTTCGCTATGTTTGATCTCGTAAAAACCAAAGTTCCGGGCTTCATTTCTGCAGATTTTACAGTAGTTAATAACGGAACCTCGTATTCATATTAAACATAGGAAAATTAATTAAAAACATCCATAATATGTATCTGAATTCTTAAATTATTATTAAATTATACTATATATGACAGTTCCATTTGGATTTTTATTTCCAAAAGTATGAAATTACGTAACTAATCAGACAACTGGAAGTTGCAACTGAAAACTGGAAGTAAGACGTGATATCCATAGGATTTTTTACGGACTCCCAAGCTTTCGTGAATATATAATAAATTTTAAAGCTCGAAAGCGTACAGACTTTTCTGTCAAAGAAACCATAGACGTTTTCAAGGATTTAATTTATTGTTCTTAATTTTTCCCTCGATTTTTTAATTTCTTGCTCTTTGTACGCGAATATTTTAATACTTGAAAGCACAGAGATTTCTCCGTCCAAACCTATTCGCCGTTCTTTTTAAATTACAAATTTATCTTTCATATCCTTGACATTTAGAAGCGTTCAAATTTTTCAGTCAAACTCTACGTACAGAATTTAAAAATTAAAAATTAACTCACTGTCCCGCAATTTATTCACGCGAATTTCCTGCTCTTTATTCATACACACAGTAACAATATTTTAAAGCTTGAAAACATACAGATTTTTCCGTCACTTTTTACCCACCACCTTTTTACGTTAAAAATTGACCTGCCATTACCCAATTTTTCCACATAAATATGTACAATAATAAAGTTTAACGCACGTACATTTGTATTTAACTTTTCCATTAAAGTCCATTCACGCTTGTACACGCTTTTGAATCAAAAAATTATCCCAGTCTCTCAATTGCTCTCCGCAAAATTCCCAAATAATTGTAAACATTCGTATACAAAAATAAATTTCGACATTAAAAAACAACCAGATTTTCTCTCAAGGCCTATCCACAATTTTCCCCAAATGGAGCAAAATTCATCAAAAATCAACGCATTTTCATCTAATTCTCTCATCTATGGATTTCACAGTTTCTACCTTCTCGAAAATTTCCCAAGGCTTGCTTTATTCCAACATTCCCAAATACTTATTTTGCAATGACTCACGGGATCCAACGATCGATCCAATTAATCGAATTATTCGATGCAACGCTTATCGAAGAAGGACGATGACCTCGTGGCAAAGATCGCCGAATCTGAATCGATGCTCCTGGCAAATGCGCTCAAATGGGTGTACATTGTCAGAGTGAATTTCGTATGGATCATTGTCAAGCCTGCGTCCATCCCGGCTTATACGTTGCCACACTCGCGAGCCAATCGATCATGATTTCGACGGGAACTGCGTCGAATATGATTTGCCTGGAAGAGGGTTCTCTGCATGGCTTACGCGATTTATGGATTTGTGTGAAAGCACTGATTGCCGGATTTCGGATCGCGCGGTAGAAATTGCGGAAGGTCACGGAGGGATGATGCGGTGGCCGTGCTGAGAACCACCATTGCTTGGCTTGTTGGCAATTCCCTAAAGTGAATTCGGCCCGAATCAGGTGCAAATTGAATCTTTCGGGCATATAGAGGAGAAACGAGTGGGAGAAATTAGCGGCTGGGAAGAAATCGGTAATCACCTTGTTGGAGTACGCGTCATGTATGTAGGGATATTAAGGACTGTCCCAGGACAGCCCTTGCACCCTCATTTAACACTAGAACTACCAACCCAGTCAAAATGACTGGTCCCAGAATTTTCCTTTTCGCAATCATCGAACACATACACCTGCTTTAAGAATAAAATTGGTATCAACTCATATTAAGAAAGAACTGTAATCAATATATTCGCTCATATTCATTGTACCGCTGAAATTACTATAACCTGTGTACGTTATAGATAGGTACCCATTAAAGATCGGTAGTTCTAGTGTTAACCCATTTGTATCCAAGCGCGGAATATTCCGCGAGCCACGACTCTCGTATATCACCGAGCGCGGAATATTCCGCGAGCTACGACTGTCGCCTATCACCGAGCGCGGAATAATCCGCGAGCTGACTTTTTCCATTACCAGTTACTGAATATTCTTCATATGCCACAGATCACGTTTGATCCCTTTTGTGAGCATCTCATCTACATCGGTTCATTATGTTCTTAACAAGTTTTACTTTTGTTGTGAAAATTCTTTTAAATGCCATGATAAATAATATAATTATACTGGTGTGAATGCAAAACTGTCTACCGTTCTGCAACCATATTTCACCAATCCTGAAGAAGAAGAAGTTATTTTATTTTACTTATTTTTGCCTTTTCTTTTCCACTTGTTTTTCTTTATTATTGGAACTTCGAGAGGCCAATAAATAGCGAGAGGTACGTTATGAATCTGGATTTCAGCTGGTCGAATCACCTCGAGAATGGAAATTTGTGGCGAAATTGTGGTTCTTGTTGAAACATTCACGAGTGTGTCGAGTAACGTTGTTCCTGTTACGTTCGCTATGGGATTAGAACGCATGGTAGCTAGTATTTTAACAGCGTTGATTGTTAATGGAATATTTACTCCGTGAGATGGTGTGTATGTTCCACGTTAGTATTTGTTTATTTTGTTTTATCCCGTATTCGTATATTACACTCCGTGAGCAATTTTGTCGAGGATTTTCAGATGCAGTGGATCTGTTGAATATCTTCGTGGCTAGAGCTAGAATCATTTGGGTAAATTTAAGATTACCCACGAGTCGGGGTAAAGAACGAAATTTAATTTAAATCGTACACGTTTTGGATCTTATTCGCTATATTTTATTCCTTGAGCCTAGATTTTTCGTTCCAACGTAGAACACACTTTGCTATCAATTTGTCAAATCTTTATTTTTGTGAGAAATCACGAAAAATAATATTCTAAACAAAATAATATCCTCCTAGAAGGCATCCAGGCTTATTCGAATTAACTACTTGGTATACTTATATTTAAAAATAAAAATTAACCACGAATTAGAAAATTAGAAAATTTCGTACCTAGTATACTTAGATTTGAAAGTTTGACAGTCATGAATGAAAATAAATAAAAATCATTCGAAATATAAACTTTTCCTATAGATTTATGACACGATCTAAAATTTTCTTTCTTCAAAATTTTCTTTCTTAATTAATTAAATTAAAGACCGGATTTATTCCCTATTCAATTCGAATAATCGACGTTCTATCGTACTTCAATTTAAATTATTATTTCCCTGTAACACCCTGTATATCATTTTCTCCCCTTCAGACGAATTTGTTTCTCGATCTTCCAATGTCTCCATCAATCGATCAGTTGGACTCAGACCATTAGGGGTTTAGGGGTTTGGGTCTTCGTCTATCGCGAATTTTTCGATCATTTATTTTTGTCGTTCCTTTTTACACTTTATTTTTGTAATTTATACACCGTTTTGTAAGACACCTGCGACCCAATGAGGTACAGCGACGAGGATGTTGACCCAGTATACGTATATCAAGCCGAGACATCAGTTCGGGAAGCAATGTGTCTTCACGGTCGAACATGTTGGCAAAGAAAACATTATGCCGGAACCGGAATTGATGGAAAGTTACGTCATACGCACGCGCAGTCATCGTCGAGTACAAGTAGCTAAACAGTTCGCGGTTCATGAGGTAAGAGTCGATTAATATTCGAACGACTAACCTCAACTGTAGCCTGTTTTCCTAGTTGAGGTTAGTTTCTGTCGTTTCTAATCAGTGTTACAGACTGACTCATTTTATATGAATCATGGTATCACGTGTTTCCTCGAGGTCTGTTCTGATTTTAAGTCACTTGAAATATTAATGGAATATTTTTTGTTATTTTCTTTTAATTATTTTTATTATTTTATTCAGAAATGGAATGAAGATTACCTTTTATCAGCAACGTTGCGAGGTTGAATATTTTACACGTGTGTATTAATGAATTTTTGGCAGCTTGGAAAGTATTTATTTTGTTAGGAATCTTTTATTCTTTATTTCATATTTATCTTTTATTCTATATTTTAGCATGCCTTTTTGTTTTCAGATCACGCAAATGAAAAAGGAAAAATAAATATAATGTGTGTATAAGTTATTAAATATATGTGATATAAAATAATGGATTTTGTAGGGACTGTAGTAAATTAAAAAATTGGTGGAACGAAGAAATCGAAGGACCCTTTGACGTATATTGAGCAATTAAATGTCTCAGAAATATATTGTTATTTAAAGGATAATAATGTATGGAATGTATTTTGATTTAGGCACAGACAACAATTAAATCCGTGTCAAATGCGGGTGTACTTCATACAGAAGGTGGATGGCCAAGGGAAATCAACCCACGAGATAGCGAAGCTGTTCAAAGATTTCGTCGACGCGTGGAAAAAGATGATAGTTGGGTGACAAGCATGCGAAACCTTGTCCCGGTGAATTTTGAAAAAGAACCTAAAATTAGAAACTCCAAACATTTTTCAATTTTTGTTAATATTCCCTAAGAAAAATATTTTCGTCTCAATCTAATTTCTCGCATAAATTTACTATTTCAAGATCACATTTTGTAATCAATGTATTAACTCTTTGCACTCTGATCCTTCCATTATGTAGACGTTGACTATTTGCAATATCGCTTATTCAATTTTCTTCTGATCGATAAAAATGGGAGGCAAAAAGGAGCTACCCTGCAAAACAAATTGACAAATGCTTCGAATATTTTCCTTCCGAAATACAATCCTTAATTTCAAGCAGCTGTAAAGTACTTTAAAAATGAATAAGCACCATCAAAATTCGAGTGGAAAAATTTTCAGAGAGCGAAGGGTTAAATTCCAATTAAATTCATTATACGACGATTAATTTACAGTTTCTACTTTATATTTAGACAATGAAGCGTTACTTGCTGCAAAACAATGCAGTCAACATCTACCAGAACTTCTTTGACGACCTGGTCCCGAAATGCATGGCCAAAGACTACAATATCAGGTATAATCCTCGTATTTCGAAAAATATATGTAAATAATAGCGATAAAATAACAATGTACCAATCTCAATCTTCAAAAACAAAATTTCCAAGCCTACAAAATTTGTCGAGTCTTCATATAACACAACACAACACTAGTTATAGATATATAAATATAGAGAAACCCCCAGGCATCGCACCCCAAACATCACACGATCATCTCTATGACCTATACTACCACGTACACAAAGAGAGTCAAACTCGTCGAAAGTTCCTAAACTGGGTTAAGTAAATCAACAAGACGATCATCGACTAGCGAAGCTCCATCGAATTCATTAGTCGAATGATCATCAGTCGAATTCCGGCCATTAGAGCGAAACGCGTGTTGCAAAAAGCGGGGCGAAATTTACAAGCAAAGAGTGCAGCCAACGATTCCATCGATTTGGCAATGAAGCTTCGTGGGCTCGTAAAATCAACGATTGCAGCGTGCTTTATCGCGATAACATGGGCCACCGTGTGTGTTGGGAAAAATCAAAGGGTTCTTCTCGATTTTTTCCATTTATTTATTTTTCTATAAATTCTTTCCGGAAATTTTTCGTGTTTCTCTCTGTTCCTCTTTACTGTCCAGGGTTTCGAACCTGTTCGAAGATCCGGAGACGAAGGTGAGACCAATCAGGGATTTATCCTGGTCACCGAATGGATCGGATCGGTTGGCCGTTGCGTACGGCTTCATGGAATTCGAGGAGCATTCGGCCGACGTGAGTCCGTACTCCTACGTATGGGACATCGGTACTCGGATATTCCTTATGTAATTCGACGACGAACCGCGCACTGACGACGTTATTTGCGACGGCACCTCGACGCGAGGCGATATTCCTTGAATTAATTCCGCCCATGCTTGGCCATTACGAAATTTCGCGTGATCCCCACGATATCTGTTCTTTCAATTTCTTTCAAATATCGTCGTGAGAATTTTTCTACTATCGCTTATTTCTTTTGGATAGTCGCTATATTTTGGGTAACCGAGAGCAAACATTTTGGAATTCTTTTGAACATCGATAATAAAATTTTAACACTTTAATGGCCGCTCGCACAGCATGTGTATGATGTTACCACCGATTAGTAATTAATAATTATCACATAAGGGAAAAATATAAAATTTGTCGTTAAATTGTTATTGTCTTTTATTTTATGTGTATGTTCGCACATGTTGTATTATTTCGTGAATTTTAAATAGAGTTTTTTTAAATTAATTCCTCAAAAATATTGCCGGCCTCTGGCAACATTTAACTGCGTTTTTTTTAATTGAGTATCTGGAAATAAATATATTAGAAATCTTCTGAATATCGTCATAAAATTATTGGTCGTTGGTATTGTCGAACTTTGACCTCGAACGAAATACTATATCGTTTTTCAAAGATCGAATATCGTCGCCAAATAATTTTTTAACGATTAGTTATATTTCTACATAGAAATCGAATAATTGAAGTAGTTAGTAGGTAGTGTTCTTAGGTGTTCACGTAAGACTAAATTACTATGAAAATGTATCATTCGTTTTACACAGAGAATCCCAACAAAGCTCTGCACACGTTGAAATCAAGCTCGCAGTTAATGACAGTCGAATTCAATCCTCGAGATCCTGTATTGCTACTCAGCGGCCTTATAACGGGCCAAGTGTGCTACTGGGATATTCGAAACAGTGGAAAACCGGCGCAAACATCTCATCTTTACACCAGTCATAGGTATTCTAATTTTCATCTGCAGTTTTCAAACTTGCGAACCTTTCCCGCACTTCGCGAAGTAAAATAAATTCTGCGAATCCTTCGTTGAGGGGAAGAGGCATAAAGAGGAGTTAAAAAGCTTTATGACGCCGAAAGTTCGGAGACTTGATAACAGGAGTGATAAAAATTTTAATTTCGGAACCACTGTAGACATAGTTAAACTTTAATGCAAAAATCTACATTTCCTTTGAAACGAAAATGAAGGTAAATTCTGAACAAAACCCTCGCTCATAAAGGTATACTAAGAAGAACATTCAATGTTACTCTGAGCATTTTATATAGAATTTTCACCAGATGAAAGATCGTAAAATATGCGTTAAAATCTCAGAAAGTTGCAACACTGTGGTACATTTAAAATTTAAAATTCTAACCTTGATATATACATTGCGTTGACTTTGTGATCCAAAATAATATTTTATATGAAATCGAGTTATATATTTCTTCAAGTAAAACGAAGCAGAGGTTGATACCTTAAGTATCCTGAAAGATTTGTACAAATTATTCCCATCAAACGTTTCTAATTATTCGACAACTTTACGCCGCACGAATTTCTCGAAATTCGGAATCAGACCGACCGCAATTTTCTCCTACAATCAACGACAAACAGTCTGCGACCCGCCTATAAGCTAGCACCAAAGTACAAACGGCCAAAGTACATAAAATTGCAACTTTCCTTTCGCATCTTTCGCCCTAAGGAATCCAGCGATTCAGACCATCTGGATCTCTTCCAAGACCAACACCGACTTCTTCTCCTCTTCTACCGATGGGATGGTCCTGTGGTGGGACGTCAGGTACATGAGAAAACCCACAGAGGTCTTGGTGATGGACCTCGACAATCCGAAGAGAGCGGACATCTCGAAAGCTGTCGGTGTCACGGCGCTTCAGTTCGAACAAACAATGAGCAGTAAATTTCTAGCTGGTACCGAAAATGGTATCGTGGTGAATGTGAACAGGAGAATGAACAATCCCGTAGAAAAAGTGGCAGTTAGGTTCGAGTGTTACACCGGAGCAGTCATCACGATTGACAGAAACCCCATCTACACGAAGAATTTTTTAACGGTTGGCAATTGGACAGCCAAGGTGTGGGCAGACGACACGAAGGAAGGATCTTTGCTCAGTACCAGGTGTGTGAGATCGTGTATCCTCGAGCTTTTGCAGTTTGAATGAAATGTTGTTCAGATTTGAGGTTAGGCAGCGCCATGTTGTCGAGCCGCCATTTGCAATTCATGGCGCTGTCGGTTCCTACCGCAGCGCCATCTTAGTCTTACTGTACACCGGTTCCGTAATATTACACAATTTCAATAAGAGTATACGTTTCAATATTCATAAACAATTGTTACAGCTATTTCTTGGTTCAAAATTAATTCTGAAGCTCTAAAAATATAGTACATTTTCTTGAAAAATCCTAGTATTATAGTATATTATATTAGTATAATATTTTATTATTTTATAATTATTATATAGTATATTTTCTTCAAACCTAGTATTTACCATAATTAGGTGGTCAAAGTTCAAAAACAGCCTGTAAATGCTTTCATTTCGAGCTTTCACTTTCAACTATGTCTGTAACACTAGTTGGTAAAATTTGCTATTTTAAATGAATCATAAATAACTTGTCATTTGATAATCGTAATAGTGATCACATAGTCATATTAACAACGTGGTTATAAATCTTGAATGATGTTTAATACGAGTTAGCAGCTGTTCTAAAATTGGAAGCTTCAGAAAGATATCGGGAAGAGTGAAAGGTTTCCGTCACGAGATTCTCGAGTGGTCCAATTTAGAAGCTTTGGAAAATATCGGTAGAACACACGAGATTCGAAGATTTATGAAACTTCTGTACTTTTTCAATGGCAGAAACAAACTCGTTGATCTGAGCGGTGGCTGCTGGAGCAAATCCAGGTGCTCCGTGTTCTTCATCATAAACACGCAAGGCGTATTGGAAGCTTACGATGTTCTGGCGGGCTTGAAAGCACCGTTGGCTAAGATTCACATATGCAAGGATAGTCTGACGTCGATCAACGCGCACAAAGACGGCGATTTCCTCGCTGTTGGAAGTAGCAATGGCAAAGTGTACCTGTTGGAGTGCACGGAAGACTTTGGAATGTTCTCGAAAGAAGACAGACTTGCTTTAAACAACGTAAGATCTTGGCTTTAATGGAATAATTCGATTAGAAACTTTCGAACACGTGTCTTTCGTAATTTTCTTTAACTTTTTATTTCATTATAGTCATTCATGCACTTTAGTGAGTGAAATTGGTAGCTTGGTGTATATGTATTAAAATTTCGACACGTGTTGAATTTAAAAAATTCAGAGGAAGACTTTATAATGATTATTTATCCCATCGTTTTGTATTTTGAAAATTTTTTATTCCGAAATTAAAGAGTTCTTTTTACTGTGACTTTTGAAAGAATTATATGGATCCAGTCATATATTCGATTATTTTTATGCTTCTCAATCTGACAAGCGAGGATTAATTACACAATAGCTTAGTTTGATTTGAAATATTATTTTCGTCATTGGTCGTAGTGGATTTTTTCAGTAATTCTCTTTGAAGTATTATAGATAATATTTTTCGACCTTCTTGACCTATTTTCTATCAAAAGATTATCTGCTTTATGCTCTACACACCACCATTGAGCTCTCTTAATATTTACATAAGCTTCTTTTGAACTTATACTTTAAACAGCTTTCATGGTACATTTGCCAAGTTTAATTTCACAACACAGCTGATATACTACGTAAAATAAATAAATATTTTTAAACAATTTTTTTACTGTATTTCTCAACATTTTGCAAAAATCATTAAGAGAAAAAGATACCTAGCTGCTAAATTAGTTGAAATTTAATATTATATAAAATAAA